GTCAAGAGACCGGGAGGGAAATCACCAAAAGCTCACGCAGAGAAAACGCCCAACTCTAACCCGGCTCCGTCCGCGCGTCTCTGCCGCTCCCTCGCCAAAGTCTGAAAGCGGAGCCAGCGAACCAGATCCGAACCGGGCAGCAGTGTCGGGGCGGCGGAGCCCGCGCGGCACGCCTCCAGCTCCGGTCCCGGTCCTGGTCCCGGCGGGGAACGCGCTCGCCCGCTGCCTCCCCGGGCTCCTGCGCGCAGGGCAGGGCCGGGCCGGGCCGGGCGGCGGGGGCTGACGAGGGGCGTCCGGGCCGGCGAGCGAGGCGGAGAGCAGCGGCCCGAGCCGCCGCCGCGGCGCGCGGAGCTAAGAGCGAGGCGGCGGCGGCGGCGACAGGACAAAGGAGACCATGTGCGGAGGGAGGGAGGAGGGAGAGGGAGGAGGCAGAGGAGGAGGGCGCGCGGCGGCGGCGGCGGCGGCGACTTCTCCCCGGCGGCCGCCGCGGGCTCCCCGACAGCGGGTCCCGCCTCTCCAGCAGCGCCGCGGGCCGCCGCCGTCGCCGTCTTCGCGTCGGGAGCCGTTCGGAGTCTTTCTTCTGCGCCGATCCCGCCGGCGCGCGGCGCGGGCGCCTCCTGGCCAGAGCTCGCGGGCGGGCGCCCCGGCTGGCTGGGCTCCGGCCCGCGCTCCGCTCGCGGCCGCCTGCCTTTGGCCCCGTGCGCGGCTCAAGTGAACTCCATGGGCGGCCGCCGCCGGCGCTGCGGGCTCCCGGGCTGGGCCGTGGCAGGGGGGCGGCGGGGCCCCGGCTCCGCACTTTGCTCCCCGACGCTCGCAGCTCCCGGAGCGGGACTCCTCGGAGCGCGAGCCCTCGCCGCCGGTGCCACCGCCCCTCCTCCGCCCCGCCCCGCGCGCCCCGCCCCTCGCCGTCCCTCCTCTCGGCCCGGCGCCGGGTCGCCCCGCGGGGGCGCAGTCCCCGGGCGGACACCGACAGCTGTTGCGCCCCCCCCCCCCAGCCCGGGCCCTGGGTCCCCATGGCTGCGTCTCCCGCGGGCGGGCGCGGCGGGAACTGCGGAGCTCAGCGCCCTCTCGGCAGATGCCGCTCGCGGGGTTGTGCCGCGGCAGGGAAAGGCCGCTAGGCTCGCAGCCCAGGGCTGCCTGCGACCAGGCCGGTCACGTCTGCGAAAAGCAGCGTCTGTGCGCGGTAATGGGGCCGCAGTGGGAAACCGCACGTTAAAAGTCTGGCACATAGTAGGTGCTCCGTGCAAAATACTAATTCCATTGTCGAACATGGGGCGGGGGACCAGAGGCTACGTATTAGAACAAAAAGGTTTTCATCTGAACTATCCCGCCACGCCAGAGAATGAACAGCCCCGGGTTTCATGAATAACAGCGCACACTCCGGCCATTTACAAACCCTCCCCTCCTCCCCAGTCCTCAAATCACCGGACACCTGTGCACCTCACGTCCACAGAACAGGAGCCCGTCGGTTCCCGTGGCATCCGTCAAACAGCATGAAAGTAACGCCAAAGCCCCACTCCATGGGCACTGACTGCGTCATCTACCACCGCTGTGTCCCTCGGAGCCCAGCACAGTTCGAGGAGAGGCAATGCCCACCCACTGAGACACAGCAGCTGCCCCTCTGCTCAGGCTACTGGTGCCCTTGGAGGAACCCTGGCTTCCGTACTCACTATCCTAGCCACAGTGGCCCTGAGAAGGAACCAGGAAATGCAGGCTGAAAACATCCAAGGTTTTCATTCCACACCTGCAGTCCGGGGTAGGACTCTCTCCTTGGTGTACAGAGAAAGCTGCTTCAATTTCCCCTGCGCAAGCAATTCGCAGATTGCAACTGGGAGGGACCTAGGGCAGAGGGGCCACATGAGGAGGGCTCGGAGAGCAGCCTGCAGTTCCCGGTTCCCCGGAATGCCCCGGTTACCTGGCGCATGGCTGGCGGAGAGAAGAAAGGAGCGAGCTTAGGTGGGAGAGCTGTACTCCACATACAAATGACACATCTGCATCGAAGGAATGATGGCCTTTCCTCAACTCTTTGAAGGTGCACATGCGCCACTGTTTGATTTCATGGCACTCTTGCAAAACCTCTCAAGCCCCAGCTCTTTAATAAAATTAATTTAGGAAATAAATGGCTTTCTCTCGCTAGCCTTATCCTTTCCCAAACTGGCAGCACCATAAATTCTATAAGTTTTCCTGCGATAGGTAATAGTGACTTTTCTCTACCCAAGAGAAGTCAGAAGAAAAAGGCACTTAGGAGGTGTAGATTTGGAGATGGAAGTTTCCCGTGTGCTCATGAGGTGGTATAAAGACCCGCTGAGGCCCTCAAGCTAGGGGCCATGCATTCTGAAGCTTTTTCTGTAATACCAGGATAGCTCAGAGGGAAACATTACATTTTCAAGAAAAGACATTAAAATGTTGTTTCTTTTGGAGCAATCAAAACGGATGGCTCTAATAAGATCAGTATTACAGGGAAGAAATTGCCTAAGGTCTGGTTAGGTCCCTTACAGGCAGGGTAAACTGAGATGCAGAAATGTTCGGCATTTTAGCTGACCAACTGAAATAACCACTTGGTCCTCCAGGATGCTCCTATCCGTGCACTTCTGAGGCTCACCATGTTATTTATCAAAGACTATCAGGGATTAGGCCTCAGATGACCCAGCCTGGGCCACATCTGAGTGTGTTCCTGGATCCTGATTACTGTAATCAGGAGGAACCAGGAAACGCCAAGAGCCGAGCCTCCAGAGAGAGAACCCACAGAATGCGGCTGCCACACTCAGTCCTGCCCGCCCTGTGCCAATCCACTTCTGCTCACTTTGCTCCACCTCTCGATTGATCTCTCTCCAGAGACAGGAGTCCAGTCCACCCTGAGGAGATCCCAAGTTGCTCTGCTCTCCTCCATGGATTGATGTTAAAATGGCAGGGGAACAGGTACATCACCGTATCAGAAGTAGAAAAAAAGATGAAAGAGAAAACCTGGACAATCTACTTATTGGGTGAATGAATCCTGGTCAGGGCCTTGACTTTCAAGTACCAGGAAGGGGTGTGTGTGTGTGTGTTACTGGGGATCAAACCCTGGGCCTCCCAACAGCCTAAGCAAGTGTTCTACCTCTGAGCTACACTGATTGCAAGTCAAAGGCTAGAAGCCATCATTCCTGTTTTATTCAGTGGTTTAACACTGTAAACACTCATGGCTTCTGAACTTCACCTTGGGCCTCTTGAACCAGATCTAAGGAGAGCAAGCCTCAGAGAGTGGGGATTGTAACAAGATAGCAAGGAGGCTGGCTCAATGGTCCTTTCAGTGTTGGATTTATTACTTCAGAAGCATTTTAAATATGTGACCAAAGATCTAGCCAAGTTTGTGATTAATTAACTAAAAAATTTTTTAAAGCTAAATTAAAATACAGAGTCATCTTCCTTGAGAACAAAAATAGACTCGAAGATAAGGACAAACTAGATTTGAAAAGTAAGAGAAGTTCTAAATCAATGAAAATGGCAAAATTGAAGAGCTTGAAATGTGAATTGTTATGTAATTTGTATCACAAATGACCAGACTTACACTAAATATATTTTGGGAAAATATTCCTTAAAAATTCTAACCTAGGGCCGGGGATTTAGCTCAGTGGTTCCGGCGCCTGCCTCACAAGCGCAAGGTCCCGAGTTTGATACCCGGTACTAAAAAAACAAAAAAAATTCTAACCTACGGAAGACAATAAGGGGGATGAATATAATCAAAATATCTTATACAGCCCGGGGATTTAGCTCAGTGGTTTCGCCTCCTGCTGCACAAAGGCAAGGACTGGTGTTCGATCCCCGGTACCAAAAAAAAAAAATTTTCTACACACTGAAATCCAATTTAAAAATTCTGCCCCTCTGTCGAGCATTTTGTACAGAGAAAAGTTCGTTAATTTGTTTATATAGTGAACTTCAAGCACCCCCACAGAGTATGTGCTGGACTATTTCTACAGTGGTTTAAAGGAAGGAGAAGTCATTATAGAAATCTCTTCAAGCCTTTCATTCTAAATTATGGAATAGCTTGACAGAAGCACTGAAAGGAAGTGCTGACATCTAAGTTTGTTCTCTAGTTAGCCTTCAGAAAGATGTCACCTTGTGTGGCTTATTTGTGGGACTCCAGGAGGGTTGATTCTTTTTAAATACTGAAGTTCTTCAAGCTCTGAAAAACCTGTTTCCAACTGTTCTTTAGGTAGAGGTTATGAGTTGGAACTCTGGAAAGAATATCGGGTTGACACCTGGCCCTGTCACTTCTGAACTCAAAGATCTGGCAAATCTTTTCAGTCTCCTCATCTGCAGAAGGAGAAGACAGTGCCTACCTTCACCAGACCATTGTTAGCAGTCATGCCTGAACTCAGTGGGACACAGGTGTAGGTGTTGGTTATTGTGATTCTCTTTTTTTTTTTTTGGTTCCAGGGATCGAACTTGGGTCCTTGTGCTTGTGTAGGAGGTGGCAAAACCACGGAGCTAAATCCCTGGCCCCAATTGTGATTCTTTTGACACACACACACATGCGTGTTTTAGTAGGACTGCAATGTCCATGGCCATGTCCTCTACTGGGCTGTCTCAACAGGGATCACCACATGAAAATGGAAATTGCCAGGTGTGATGGTACACACCTGTAATCCCAGCACTTGGGAGGCTGAGGTAGCATAGGAGGATTTTCACCAGTCCCAGGCCAGCCTGCGCTACATAGTGAGTTCAAGGCCAGCCTGAAGTATACAGTGAGATCCTGCTGCTTCCCCTCAAAAAAAAAAGAAAAAGAAAATAACTACATGAGCATCAAAAATGATAATGCTTCCCCAAAGCCTTGTACTACCTCTACTAGACAGTGATGTGTTTACATAGGCACTACTGCAAAACACTCTCTCTTCAAGGGGTCAGAACCCAGACGCTGGATAGCCTGAGTGACATAACAAGGCTGGAGGGATGGCTTAATGTGGATCTTCCTGGTGGATTATAAAGTCTGACCCTAAATCAAGCGCAATGTTGTCAGAGCCTGCCAGGCTTCAGGATGTGATCCACCTCCTCACAGTAAGGCTTCAATTTCTTAAACACAGAATAGCAGGCATCCCAATTAGATCATATTGACATGTTACGTTGTAATTTCCAGTTTTACAAGGTCTGCCTTTTATTTTGCCTACAGCTAGAAAAATGGTTTCTTATTGGTGCAGAAGCATGTTTTGTGTTTTCCTCTTTTCTCCGTATGAAATATCCACTACCTCAATTGGGTTTTGACAGAATGAGGACTACGCCTCACTAGCCTTGATTCACGCCACAGCCATAGCAGCAGCAGTGTAACAGATATGTATCCAGAGGCAGGCTCCAACCCTTTATTATCTGTTGAAGAGGATAATATCCTAGTGTATTGCTGTCCCACGCCCTCTTTCTGAGCCTGCCTGGTTTCTGGCAGACAGAATTCCCATCTTAGAATCCGTTCACACCTTGCATGCCCAGCACAGTGGTAAGAGGCCCCAGCTTCTTGTGGATGCAAAAGAAGGAATGAACAGAGAGCTGAGATTTTCCCAGCATGCTAGCAAAGCCCCAGGAGTGTGTAACTGGCAAGGTGAAGGGGAGACACAGGGCACAAGGCAACTGCCAAGGAGCCCCAAGGAGCATGCACTTTGCCTCAGGTGCCCGCCCACTGCTCCTACTCATGGCAGGCAACCAAGAGCTGCAGTGTGGGCAGCTGGAATCAACAGGTTGCTTTCCACCAGGAAGAAGGGATGCTCTCTTGCTAAGGCTGTCTTGCTTCTCGCTTCTGTCGGTTCCTGACATTCTGTTTCAGCCCCAGGGATTAAAATTCTTCCTGGGTCCTGGGGATTTCATCAGTGTAGGCCAATTCCTTTTAAACTATGGATCTGGGTTTCCTCCTTCAGTAATGCGTGCCTAGTCACTTACAGGTGGCCCCAAATCCCTCTGCCCAAATCCCTGTCCCTTCTGAAAGGGTGATTTTTAAATCGAATGCTTCATTTACTTATCACTCTGAAAGGAGGCTGCCATAGCTCATGTTCTTACTGTTGTAAAGCAAAAACCTCTACTATTATATGCCTGTGTCACTACAATTGATCATGGGCCCGCAACAAGAGGGAAGTAAATAAGCTGAACCGAGTTAGTTTATGATGCACACTACTGAGACGCAGGGGGGAATAAATATTTTCCAAGTGTAGAAGTCAAGAAAAAGAATTTCACTTTCAAACTTCAGAGTATACTATAAACTACAAAGGGGGGGGGAGTACAAGAAAGAAGACATAAAATATATCTTACTTAACCACAAATCTACATTCAAATATTAACATTCAAAATCCGACAAGCCCACAAAAAAGGCAGTGAAAACCAGAAATGAATTCAATTTCTACTCATGTCACCCGACTGGCTATGGGTATCCCATCTGATTTTTTCCAGAAGGGCACATGATATGAACTGGGAGGCCTCTCTGCTCGCCCTGGTCATGTCGTTCTGAATTCACCTGTACCTTGTTCACTCCTCTGTCACGCCATGCGATGCTGATGTCTGTGAGTAATTTTTAGTCCAGCAGACAACTGATATGAGCCCATGATTCTCTGTGGACTCCAGTGAGTCCAGGTATTCATCCTGCCTCAGTTACCTGGTCCTCTCCAAGACCTACCTGGCTCCTCTCATTAATTCCACATGGAAGTGGGGACAGAGTGAGGCAGGAGATGACAATCAGTAATAGAATGGACAGTGTATGTAAATGTCTCCATGGGCTGAAGGGTAGTCCAATGTAGGATGAAATGTATCAATAAGTCACCCAGGATGATCAATTGAGGAAAGGGATGTATTAAATTGAAAAGAAGGCTGGGGATGTAGCTTAGTGGCACAGTGCCTGCCTGGCAAACACAAGGTCCTGAGTTCAATTCCTGGTACAAAAAAAAAAGGATAAATTGAAAAGAAGATACTTTGGGTGAGGCATTTCATTAGGTTGTCTTTGTCTACAGTATCTCAGCATCTAATTCTTAAGCAAGCATACTGAATTTTAAAATCCATGGGCTCCAGCCTGGTGGTTAACAGAATGAAGTTAGCAGAACATATGTTTGAACCTGGACTCCATCAAGGTAGCTGGTTGATCTTTTGAGTACTTACATGACTCTGTAAAGCCTCATTGCACCTGAAACATGGCACACTAGTAACAGTTTTTAACTCTCATAGAATACTGTGTGAGTATTAATACAATGTATGAGTATGGCGCTAAACACAATGCTCAACACATGGCAGCCACTCAATAAATAATTTTTTCTCTGCTTTTTATACCAGGTTACCTGACATTTGGGTTGTTAAACTGGTGCCAATTGTTTCCACATTTGGGGCAACTGAGAGTTAGGCAGCTATCTAGTAGTGGTTAAAAGCTTAGCCACTGATGAAAGAACCAATGGCGTCAAATCCTAGCTGATCTTCCACTCCCGTATACTAGTTAATTGGTGGTGGACAGATGGATAATTCCATATATCTAGCCCTCAGTTTCCTTATCTGTAAAACAGGGCAATAATAGCAGCTACTTAACTGCAGCTGTTGTGTAGGTTAAATAAATTAATATATGTATCTTCATCAGTAGCTGTAAATTACCTAGGAATAGATGTCACTTGTAGGAAAACCGATTTGAGCAATCCCTGTTAGCTTTATAAATGGAGTTGTCAGGCACCCAGCCTTTAGCAGAGGGCAAAAAGGGCCTGTATGGTAGTTTGAGAAAGGCAGCCTGGCTGGTGCTCTCTGCTGGATGACTGTCAGGCCTGCTGACCGAGGGTCTCTGGGAGATGCTCGCCATGCAGGAGGGAGGGCTGAGTCCAGCGAGATGGAACTGGGGCTGGAGCTCACTCAGGAAGCAGTAGCTGGCAGCGCCCCTCCCAGGCATGGCATGGCTCTTGGAAGAATTGGCCCAACAGAGAAGGGAGTCCCTGCAGTTGTTGGTAGGATTTAAGTATTTTCCAACAAACGTGCTAAGTGGCGACATTAGAAACGACTGGTGTGGAACACTTGAGGGTACTGGTGAACTGCTCATGGTTTATCGTTCTCTGGATATTATGCCTAATTGTAATTAGGCATTTCACTCCCTTAGATTGAAAATTTTTTTCCAAAAATTCAGGGGAGAGAGAGTCCCCTGAAACCAATCCAGATATTCCTCAGTTGGGTACCTGAACAACTTATATAAATATCAAAAGAGATACTACCTTATCTGAGCACGGCAACCATGCTTGTCATTAAACAAGTCTTACCGTATACATTGTTACATTTTCAGTTAAGTTTTGCATTGAGGAAAAACTGTTTATCTGTATCTAAATTGAGGGCCCAAATTTGTATCTTTGGTTACTCAGAGAAAAACTGTTGCTCTTTTAGGACTAGGTCAAGCTTAAAATAGGATCCCAGGGCTGGGGATTTAGCTCACTGGTGCTGTGTAAGGTCCTGAGTTGGATCCCTGGTACAGCAAAAAGAAAAAAAAAAAAAAAAAAGGATCCTGATCCTTGATTCAGTGTCTTGAAAGAGGAGGAAGGGAAAAACCAACCAATAAACTAGTTAATCCTAGATCAAGAAGAGGGTATGTGCCATAAATTATACATGATGGTACCATTCAGTGATTGTAAAACTCAGCCCTGGATAAAAATTCTGCCATGTGTCCCTATAGTAACATAGTTTTTTCAAAAATATTTACAATTATGATGTAATTTTCCCAATGCGAATCTTGTGAGGCAAATATGAATATTGCTGTGTTCTCCTTATTTCAGACAAAGGGACTGATACAAAATATAAGAAAGCCCTGGTCATGGAGAATTCAAGTTTACAGCATGATTCTACCAACCATGTCCAGCACCTTTTTCATTACAACCCAGCTCTACCATCTCCACTGTTGGGTAAGCCTTGCCTTCTCACTCTGTTGGCCAAATATGTTCTGATGTCTAACATCTAGAGAGGTTTCAAGACCTGAGTGCTGTCTTTATGCCACGTGAATATCACAGGGTATCCAAGAAGTTTGCTGTCACAAGTTTTATAGTTTAGTTTGAAAGAGTACTGACATCCTGAGGAGTGACAGCCAACTGGACATTGGTCTACTTTTCCATACACAAACTTCTCTCAAAGGTTCTATCTTTTTCTGGAAACATGTTACCTGACAGTATAAGTAATCTTTAGGGTATCGCAAGTTCTGTTCCTGTGTCTATTCTGATACACATTAATCTAACAAGATTTTCATTTGAAGCATCATTATCAAATATCTTGATGGCCTAAATATTTATTTTCAGGAGTCTTTATTGGGCAAAAAATAAAACATATGCATCCACTGGTTGGGTGAATCATATAGTTGAACATTTCTGAGTTTTCACTGTTGTTCGGGCCTTAGTTTTTTCCCCATCTCTTCCATGCTATTAAAATGGAATGGGAAACTAGTATGGTCATTCCAATGGCCTCCATCTCCATGGCTTCACAGCTCAAAGCAGCATACTTTGCAAATCATTAACTGTTATACAAATGCCAGCTGTTATGCTCATAGACCTCTGTTATGTAAGTCAGAGCAACCCTGTGTGCCTACAGAGACCTGCCAGCTCCTCTCTGGCCCTGGATGATTTCCATTTGCTGATGATGGCTGTAAATTTATTAGACTGGAAATTTCTTCTGCTGCTCCAAACTACAGCTTTACTCGAAGGTTTCCTAAGAGAAACATAGCTAAGATAATGTAGGACAATATATGTCAGACCTAGACACATTCCTTTAGGTGCACACATTTCCTTAGTGGGAACAAGACATTGCTATGGAGGGTAGTCTGTAGGTTCAGTCACTTGAGGGCCAGGACCACGATATGGTCACACATACAAACACAATACCTCTACCACCATCACTCCCCTTAGCATCTGGTGTGGTTCTCTTATGCCTTTACATGTAAGAGACGGTGTCAATAAACTGGTCAGATCAACAAGTTAATGACCAGATCTCTGTCAACTAAAACGGAAGTGGAGACATTATATCAAATATAAACTAAACTGTAAAGTCCTTTCCACAGATTGCCAGTGGTTTGGGATTTAACAATACAGGTACCTTTAAAGCCAAGAGCTGGGCACAGGTAAATTCTCTTGAAAATGATAGCAACTGAAATACCACAGCAACTATTATGGCGGGTTGTCTCCAAATACAGCCCCGGACAATTCTTTACATGCATGCCATTCTCCCAGGAGAAGCAGCACCTGTGCCCTGGCATGTGGGCTGGATCTGTGTCTTTTGACCAACAGAAAACGGTAAAAGTGGTGTTTTGGAACCTCAGAGCTTAGGTAATAAGAATGCCTGGCAACTTCTGCTTCCTCACGCTTGGAATCCATGTTGTACGGAAGCCCAAGCAGGCTCACAGAGAGGAAAACAGGCTTCAGGACCAAAGACCTCGCAGAGTTTCCAGCTGACAGCCTGTGAATAGAAGCCACTTTGCGTGTGGCTCCTGGAACTCTAGCCAGGTCACTTTCCTCCACACCTCCTGGAACAAGGGGGCGCTGTCTCTGCTGCTCTACCCATATTGTAACATTGTAAATACACAATTGCTATTAAATCTGTGATTTGTTACGAAACGATCCAAAGTGAAACAACCATCTGGGTCGGTAACACTGAAGCCAGGGGAGGAAGATCAGCACGTGCCAGGATGGGAGCATCCACAAACATTGCTTGGCATTCCATTGCCTTTTCTAGCAAATAAGGGGACCCCAAGCTGCAGAAAGAGCATTATTAAAGGAAAGATGAGTAACAGCTGCAGCAGCAACAAAAATCCTGAAGTAAGGTATGTTGATTCACTTAACACTTCCTCAGCTAAAATACGAAAAATCTTTGCTAAAATAAGAGAAAGTTTTCCATTTGACAAAGTAAAGGAAACAACATAACAATATTAATGAAAGAATAAATCTGGCCCCCTTTTTCTTTTGGAGGCTGGGAATGTCTGCAAAACTAAAAAGTCTCTAGTAATCCCTTCTTTTATCCAAAACAGATTGCAGTTTTAAGCACAGCCCCATAAACTGTAGGTTCAAAGGAACCTGAAACCGAATTAGCATAAAATCTGGAATTCTCATTTCCACCAAATGCACAGCTGCCATCTGACATCTCTTCTGTGATTTCAGTTTCAAATAGAAACTGAAAGTAGCTAAGGTGGCACGGGCCACTGGCTCTATCCTTTCACGCCTCACTTCCACACACTTGTCAGATTCTAGAGACTCTTAAGAGTCCTGCCTAAAGTCCTAAATCTTTATTTACCAAAGGAAGATATCACTGGCAACCATGTAGCAACCTGCCTCCAAGACCAGTGAGGGAAAGCCCCAAAGCCAGGGACAGTGTGTAAGTGAGCAGAGATAGGGTTGCCCATCCCATATGGAAACTTTGTCACTACTTTTAGGAGTGCTAAATGTTTTAAAGTAAATTCATTTTTTAAAAAACCTGAGGTTGATTCTGCTGGGACTACACTGATGAGAGGAGGGTGAGCACTCTCTCCCAGATTTTGCATTACAAATACCAAGAAACCCACCCTGGGATACACTAAAATTTAAATATCAGCAGGTATGTTGATTCACTTAACATTTCCTGGCTTTTTCCTCAGGTCCTGACAGCCCTAAGCAACTACATTTAATTCTATCAATGATAAGGGGCTGCTTTGCCTACTGCTGAAATGTCACCACCTCTGAGACATAAAGTTACACTTCTTTGTATAGGGAAGGAAACAAAATGGGTAATATGTAGCTGATCCCCCTGAGGAGTACAATGCTGGAAGAGGATTTTCTCACCCCCAGTAGCCAGAGTGGATCCACCCAGAGCCATCCCAGACCTCCTCTCTGATTCCCCATATGATGGACTGAGTGAACCCAAGTGACAGCTGGTGGGGGCAGCCTCAATAGCACATGAAAAGCAGGCTGCAGCCCCACAGGGAGGCACAGCCTTCTCCTCCCCTTCTTGAACGCCTCCTGCAGGGCCTGCCTGATCCTCCCATCCTCCACGCCCCACTCAGACCATCTGCTCCCGAACCAGGGCACTGATGTTAAGTTAACATGCACCACTCAGGCCAGAGATGGGGAGGGCCCTGTGCCATCCAAGTGTGGGAAGCTGCTCCTGCCCTCTTGAATTGCGAGAAACTCACAAGGAAGCCAGAGTGGCTCACCAGACTGGCCTTGCTTTCACCCGGGCTTGTGCCTCCTTTGAAGTTCCTCTACTGTTAATGTACAACTTCTCATATTCTCCAGGAGACAAAAAATACAGTGAGCATCTGGTATTTACACAGAATCTTAGAGGGAGTTGAGGGATTTAATTACAAGTGTTAGTAAAACAGGAAAATTGTAGCCAGGCTTTCAAATAGCCTCTCGCCTATAACTAACAAGACTTTTCTTTGTGCTGTTGGTAAAGAATGCTATTTATTTTCCTGGCAATGTATTTTCTTGTTGGGGGGAGAAAAAGTTGGTAAAAAATACAGTTGTTGGCTGGTAGCTTTTATTTTAATTTATGATGTTGTCCATCTTATACAAAGATCAAGCTGCAAACAATATTCTACTAGGCAGTATGCTTCGAGTTGTTTTTCCATTAGCACTGGTGGTGATGGATTTTCTCTCAGTTACCAGGGCTCACTTACAGCTGACAACATGCATTTGTGAAATGACTGGCTGAGATTCAGAGTACAACATGAGGCCGGGAAAACGAGTATAAATAACTGACCTATAGGACCATCAGAGCACTGACCCGATCTCCTTAGCAGCCGACTCAGGTGCATCTTAGAAACTGTTTACAGGGCTGTTGTAGAGTATCATAAGGAAGGGCTGAAGGAGGACTGGACTGGACTAGCACGGTCAAGAGACCTGGGTTCCAGAACAGGTCCGGCATCCACTAGTTGTGATTTTCAGTAAGCCACTTATTTCACCTTTTCTTCACCATTAAAATGCATCTGGGCTGGTCTTTCTCTAGTTCATGAGATCCTGTGATTATTTTGTGATCTGATAGTTAGTTTATAAACAGAGAATGTTCTCTGGGCTAAAAAAGAAGTAACATTTTCCTCTCCATTTTCTTGATGTTTATGTGATCAATTTCTAAGAAGAGTTTCCTGTTCAATTTACCGCCCCCGCCCCCATGCCCAACTCTCTTGGAATTTCCTGGTCAATCAGATATGTGTCAGAAGCAGGCAGTGGTTTGCATTTAAGCTTTCCAACTGGTGAGTGGGGTTCAACTTCCTCATCACAACAGTCAAGGCACAAGCAGGTCTCTTGGGCTCCGTGCCGCTGTCACTTGGTACTGCAGGCCCATTAAACACATTTGTCAGCTTTGTGCTTTAAAAACAAAACCAAAAGGGTAAATGTGTCATCACACACACTCTTTAATCTGAAGACCACAAGGGAAGGACTTCAGAAAGAAAGAAAAAAATAGTCTGCATACCCTCCCCGAACCCGCTCAAATCAGAACTCTGCAAACTCTGAGTGGGGCTTTGTCTTTGTGGGCCATTCCTAGCCAAGGAAATGTGCAGACCACATTGGGAACCAATTCAGCCATTCCTGACTTCTCCACAATCAAATAAAACAATAAATAGCCCGAACTGGGCTTAAAGGGGAGAGGACCACATGTATTTCCTCTCAGGATTTTTTTTTTCAAACATGAAAGTTTGGCTTGAAAAGAGTGCATTGTACAGACACACGTGGCCTCAATAGGATAGATCTTTAACTGATGAGACAGACTCCAGATTCAAGCACACAATATCAGGAGTTAAATCCCCAGAATTGGGTAATGGAAAGTTTGGGTCACATTAAGGGCTGTAGGATCCAGGGATAAGATTTAGTCCTAAATTAGCCTCTTGAGTAGGCTAAGCATCCCCCTAAGAAGCACCATATGTCTCGAATTGTACCTCTTTCCTTCTCTCTCAGCACTTCCCCCTTTGACAGACCAGAAAATTCCTGGCTTCAGATTCCTTCCCTGTGTATTTAGCGTTGATTCTCATTCTCAGGATGACTCAGTTTTTTTGTTTATCTGTCTGTTAACATTTTTCCCAACTTTGTATTTTGAAAAATCTCAAACTTAATAGAAAAGATGAAAGACAGTACGACTAGCGCCACAACCTTTCACTTATAGGCCCCAATGGGTAGCATTCTGTCAATTTTCCTGGTCTCTCTTTATCCCTGAACTGTATCCATTCATTTATAAATTCATCCACCCATTTAGTGTTCGTATAAGGGAAAGGCAAATTCTCCCAGCTTTCCTTCTAGCATTTTCCTTGTGGTTGCTAATCTGAGGGGTTAACATCTAAGACTTGCACTGGGGCTGATTTATAAGTGGACAGGGTCCCTATGCTCTGAGACACCACACACACACGAACTAAGCAAGTCCTGCACATGCTTGGCTTATCTCTCCATGTTCTCTTGCCTCCAGGACAGTGATGGCTAAGTTCAGCCAGGGCCCCCCTGGAAGTCTCTGGGCTTGCTGGTCAACCAGTAATGAAATTTATACTAACAAGGGGGAAGAGAAGGGTCTGTTTCCATGGGGAGCTGAAGGCATTCACTGGCATGAGCACAGATTACAGAGGCTTGTGCTGGATATTAGCATTCAGCTGACAAAAAAAGTAGTAGTATTCGCCTATTTCCTGCCCCTGTTTTCTCATTATAGAGTGGAAAATATAATGCACCTATCTTGGAGCTCTGAGGATTAAATTAGCTAGAACAGCACCTGGCACAGAGCGAGCACTCAATAAATATATCTATTAGGGTTGTTATTAGTGTTCCTTGTATGTCTGGCTCCTTCTGGTACCAATTTGAGGAGAACCAAAGAGCAAGGCAAGATTTGGATATGCATTTGACCATGTGAGCCTTTTAACCTCATCCAAACCTCCCCTACTCCTGAGAGGCTAGGGGAAGGAGCCACAGAAAGTGGTGTGGTGGGGCAACATCTAGAAGGAGAGGAATTAAAAAATGGCAAATGCCTTATAGGTACTGCAGGATAAGAACTAAGAAAAGACAGGTGGGTTGGCAACTTGGGAGGACTCTGGTGAGCAGCAAGAGAACTGTCAGAGAATGAGGCAGCAGGCAGATTACGTATTAAAAGTTAAGTGACCGAAGTGGTAAGAAAATAGAGGCCTACATAAGACTGTTTTTGAGAGGTCTCATGGAGAAGACCTGGCAGGGGACGGAAAGGTGCATATTTAGGTGAGGTCAGTGAGTCAGTTTTTTTGCAGAAGGCAGGGATGTGACACCCACACAGCCAACTGCCCCATGTGGTAATGCACTCGCTGTCTCTCCCGATCTCCCTCTTAGAGGAGCAACCTTTGATGCCGAGTCAGGAGTGAAGAACCCTCATGCCATTTATTTTGCATTCACAGACCATCCTGTCCATGGGAAGTGAATGACAGCACCAGTAGATGGAAACCTTTACGGCATTAGAGTAATCTAAAATCCTGGCTGCAAGTCCTTCCACACTCACTGTGGGCCCACACAAGTTTCCCCTGGAGTCTGGTGGGCCATGACCACATCAACTCAACGCCAGAGGTGGCTCCGTGTGACTTTCCTAGGCTCGGTCAGAAGACGGCTGCCTGCTGCTACTTTGCTTTCTGGAAGCACCCTCAGGAAACTCCTCTAGAACCCGGCCGCATGGAAAAGACATGTGGAAAAGCCCCAGTGGACAGTCCCAGGCAAGCACAGCCTGGAGTCGGCCTTGCCCCAGTGGCCCATGTGTGAGCAAAGAGCCTCAGGTAATTCCAGCCCTCAGCCATTCCAGTCACCCAGACAAGCTGTCCTGCCACCCGCTGTCCAAATTCCTCAGCCACCGAGTCCAGGGACAGGAGGGAAGGCCTGTTTCACACCACTGAGCGTTGCAGTAGAGAACTGAAACTAACACTTTCTAAATATGGATTTTCTGCTTTATCCTGAGCATTCTCCATAATGAAGCTGCTCATTTTGGAGGCAATTTCCATGACTGGGGGCGGGAGAGATTAATTTGACATATTTCTGTACCACAGACCACAGTAAGAAGCTTGATAATGGGACAGAAATTGCCCATCTGAATCATGGGGTGCATGAGGTACATCAAGTCACAGGCCAGGAGCTCTGACTGTGTTGCTTTTAAGAGGAATCAACAAACGCAAAAGAACTTGATAAATACTTCCCATAACAAAACACAATTGGTTGCAATGGGATCCGGCGCTGTTCCTCATTAGTTACCCTTCACTAGGCAGACAAGCTCCATATCTCACCGAAATCCATCGTGGATTCTTTCTAGTTTGTTGGGAAATGTGACTATACATTTCCTTTATATTGCCTGCTTTCTTGAGTCTGCTTTTAAATCTAGAGTACATGCTTAGCTCCCTCTTCCCACAGGAAAAGGAGCTTCAGCTTTCAAAGAAGGGGTAAAAGCAGGTACCAGGCAGCTGCCTTTGAAGTGGCTCGGTGGTGGAGCAGGTGGAGGGGCCAGGCGGCCATTATCAGTGGCTACCTGGTGCCAGGGGATCACGTTAGGCGATAAAACACTTGGCTGACACCAGAAAAAAAGAATCGTCACTCCTCTCCTACCCCACCCTCACTCACTGGCTCTCCTTTTTTTTTTAAGGAGGCTTTTTACCCTCATTAAATGAAACCTTATCTGTGAAAGACTGCAATCCTCAGCAAATGACAAGTGCGCCTAATCTCATTTTCTGACAAGTGATTCTGACAGCACCTTCCTTTTGATTTCTGAGACATGTAGTTAGACATATATTAATCTGTCAGTCATCATCCCTAGGAAGAATAAAAAGAGAGAGAGAAGGAAATGAACATTTATGAGTACGAAGGCAAGACAAGAGACTAGGACACCTATTTTATCCCAAGTCTGAACATGCCTTTCTCAGTTTCCCCTCCCCCTGCTCTCCTTCAGGCCCAGGGACACCCACAGAGGAGACCAGGAAGTAGCCCATTTCTGGAGCTTGTGGGACAGGCCCCGGGCATGCTGGGTCACATGGTCTGTGAGCATGCGCTCTGGAGTGAGGCACACCAGGTTCAAGTCCTGGTCCTCTCTCATACAGCTGGCTTGATTACATAACACCATTTTCTGAACCTCAGCACCCTGTCTGTGGCATAGGGCTTGTGGCAATCTATTAGCTTTAAAGATTAGATGGTATTTATTCAACTCGCGTAGGAGCATACAGGAGGCACCCAAAACACAGGGCCACTTATTGGTATTTCTGCTAAGGCCTTCCAGAAATGGAAGAAGATGATTCTAACTCAGTGTCTAACAGTGACAAACAAAATGTTTTCCACCAGGGTACAAAGATAAGTAAGATACAGACTGCTTTCAAGAGAGCTTACAGCCAGTACTGGGGAAAAGGTCTGATGGAAATAGTAGGATCAGGTGTTAAGAAGTACAATTATAAAAGTCACTGCACAGTACAGAGGGTTCGCACAGCACAGAATGGACACTTCTGTTCACACCCCTGGTTCTCATAGTCCTTGGTCACCAAGTGACCTTCTGATTATAATTTCACTTCCTTGGGAACTGTCCTTCAAGGCAAATCTGCCACCTAGTGCACATAAATCACTCTGGTTGGTGGCTGTATTCCTCAGGATAAACACCAAGATTTGTGTTAGGATTTAGTCAGTGTCCTTTGGGTTTGATTAGCATGATCACCTCTGGGGTTCTGGGCTGGGCTGACCCAATAAAGCAGGTGCTTTCTGAAGGCTGGGCTTGAGCCATCAGCTGCTCCCATCTAATTTTCTGTCTTCCTGCTCTATAAATGGTGCAGCAGGGTTGTTTTCATTGGTATAATTGCTTCTCCTGTCCTGTCTTTAAAAACTGCTCCCCACTCTTTTCAGTGAGTCGGTGACTATTATCTACTCACTGTCTCATGCGGCTCCACCGAAGGAATGAGTCACACTGACCTCTGTTGTTTACCAGGTTAACCAGTCCCTGGCCAAGGACCTCCTAACTAATAGTCCAGGGGCTCTTTCCATCTCTCTTCCTGCAGAGCTACAGACTTGCTGGGCTTCCAACACAGTGTACTATTACTATCCTCTTCTTTCTCGAGTGATGTTGCCTTCTCTTATTCTTTAGTGTCTGGATTCTCAAGACCCCCTTCAGGGTCTAGAAAGGAAACGCAGTGCCGTACTGTACTGTGCTCTTTCCTATCAAATCCTTGGATTCTACCATAATTTCAAAGTAGATGACTCCTGAGTCTCTGGCTCCGGATTTCTCCTGTGTTCCCAGACCCACAATTCCAATCTACCTGGTAGAGAATATCCCATCTGGATTGCAGAATCAAATTTTATAAAAAGAACTCAGAGGAATTTCCTCCTGGTTATCAATGTCTTGTCCAGTCCACCCTTCTTCCCTAGTCCCAAGCCAGCAGATCCTCAAGGCACTCTCTTCCCTCTGCTTCTGGCTCTTTCCCCCCTTGTACCCATACTGCCTGGCTGTCTTTCGGGTCCTCAGCCTATTGGGATATTCTGACATGGTGAGTGTTTCCTTCCAGCCTAGCTCCTTCCACTCTCTTTTCACCCAAGAAAATGCTGCGAACAGGCCAGGCCCAAGGACAGAGGTCTGAGATAAACCATCTGAGACTTCTTTCCAGGTTGACAACACAAAGGGCCAGGTTAGACAGAGACTGGCTTTGAACAGTCTCCTCTGCCTCACTAACACCGTATGGGTCTTGGACAAGCTACTGAACCATTTTGAATACACATACTGTGTAGCTCCCTCTTCAGTTCTGGGGGGTTATTATTTGCTGTGCCCCAGACTGACAGGAAACTGTGATGTATGTTCTGGCAAAAATCAGACCGTCAAAGCATGGTGTCCTTGTTGGAATGGAAGGAAACACGAACAGAAGACAGCTGTATTCGCTTGGCCCACCGTGCCTGGCCCGGTATACTGCACATAACAAAAACTCAAATATTTTTATTGACTTTGAAATAAGGAATTCTATTTTAGCAAGCCTGAAGGAGGGGAAGGTATTGCTAATGGGTAAGGGACTTGGTTTTAAGGGGTTTAAAACAAAATTCTTCGAGCCATTACTCAGATCAATAATCTTTCCCTTTGACCATGGCATATACACCTTTTCAATCAAGCTTGATGAATGATTTCCCTCAAATGCCCGTCTGGGGAGGAAGGCGGCCCACCAGAGCCAGAAGGCATCTCTGTGTGTGCAGCATTTGTTCTGTGTCCTCTACTAAGGCCACGTCTGGGTGACTACAATCACCAGGCAGGCAGGCACTCGTGGGACAAAAAATGAATCAGTCAAACTTTTTAATAGGATGGAGGGTACAGAGGGTAGAGAGGGGCCCAAGTTTAAAGGGATGGCGGTTGTTTATTCTCTTATCCTAAGGACAGCTCCATAACTGCCCTTAGAAACCCGAAAAGCTATAAAGGAAGTTTCTGTAGTTATGGAGGCATCAGCCAAGCATGTGCATGATAACTTATGTGCCTTGGGCCGTGACTGGACCAAGAAGTGGACCAACTGTGTTCCAGGTCACTTCTAGCTCTGACTTCCGTGAAACCCCGTCCACTCGTAGCCATGGAGCCCAGAAGTCAGTCCTCTGGGGAAACAGGTCTGAAGAGCTTCCCTCTGCTTTGGTGGCTCAAATTGGCAGCTAGAACTTAGCCTCAATTTCCTTTCCTTGTTCTGTAATAATAGTGACAAATCTTACTCTCAGTTAGATTAAAAATTTCAGTCACCTTATTCAACGCTTGCTGTTTTCTGACACATGCAGATGAGGATCAGGGCTTATATGTGGATGGAATCAATTATAATTTGATTAAGACGGAGCAGAAAGAAAGGAAGTAATAACAATAATCATTTCATTTATAAAGCCTTCCCTCACCACCCAGGCTCTTGGTGTGCAGAAAAGGCAATTAAAATAGGGTTCAGTTAAAAATACCATAAAACAGAAATCAAATAAAATATTAAAAAGCCAAAGTGCCATTATTCAATAAGTGTTTTTGAGAGGAGGTTCCTCAGACAATAACAGTCCAGAGAGACTGGGAAATCGGCAGCAGAGCCGGGAGGAGGCACACTTGAGGTACATTGACAGCGAACACTACATTGTCCTAGCACAAAACCTTTGTTTTATTGAAAAGTGAAGAATAAGCTCCCCTCAGTCACTCTACAAGTGTGTGACTCGTATTCATTTTACATTTCCAATTCTTAAGTGCCCAGTATTTCTGGCTGCTGTGCTTCACAAAGGCATACCCCTATTGACCTGTCTGCAAAGTATTGTGCCTTAATTTGAATCTGCTAATTGTTTTCACTCTCCTGCCCTGTCCAACAAGGAAGCATCCTCAGCCCTCTTGTACCAAAGAAGAATCAAGCAAGAAACACAGAGAAAATGCTATAATTATGGCTATTCTTGCAACAGCCTCAACATTCAAAGGAGAGATGATGAATTGTTTAATGCCGACTGTGGCTTTATTAAAAATCTGAAAAGAAAAAAAAATATCTGCCAACACTGTAATGTATAAAGCAGAGAGCTTGAGGAGACCTGAGTTCTAATCCTAGTACTCTGACTTTGGGCAGGTCACTCTAATTGCTCTGAGCCTCAGTTCCCAAATCTAGGAATCAAGGGGAATGAGCTCAGTACATTCAAGTCCCTTTCAGCTCTCCAATTCTCTGCTCCTCTGTGTGAGCACAGAACACTGGTGTTTTCTCTGGTGAACCCTTCTGTACCTCTGCAGAAAGCTGGGGAAACAGGATCCTTGGAAGTACAAAATCTGAATAACCAGAAGGGATGTAATTAAAATCAGGGTCCTGTTCCCACAAACACATCCAAGGACCTTGCCATAAAATCATCATGGTAATTAATGAACCTGCAAACTGCACGCTCCCGCCCTCCAGGTCCTACCTAGCTTAGGTGCAGCCCGACTCATGAATCCAGGCTGTTATCCTCGCCTCCCACCCTCCCACATAGCAAGCTTCGCTCCTGGCTGTGTTCAGGTGTGTTTAGCCTGTGGCTTTTAGTGAGAAAGGAGCATTTTCAAGTCATGTAGGGGCATGAATACCTTTCTGGAATTTTAGAAATGCTTACAGTGATGAAAAGAAATGACAAGGGGCCAGCTTGTGTTTGAATATTCCCATGACTGCGTGAAAGTCTCCTCTTTCCTCTGCCTGCAGAGCAGGTGCCAAATTGGTTTCTTGGGAACACGGCTCTGGGAGGAGACCTCCCTCCTCCCCGGTCACCACTACCCTTCCCAGGGACAGGTGCCTCACTGCTCAAGTCCTCCAGGGCTGAGGGATGCCACAGGCTGGGCCAGGCCCTCTGACAAGAGCAAAATCTATTTTCAGCATTTTCTTCCCCTTTTAACACCCTTATGTCATGCACTCACCCATACTGGCCTCGTGGCCCAGAAATTATATTTGTCCTGTCAACTGGCTAACCTGATAAACTTACAACACCCCAGCTGGGAAATTCGAGGCCACCAGGGGACGGCTGGGGAGGCCTGTTTTAGCAGGGCACGCCTGCGAGGATCTCCAGATAACATCAGGAAAGGTGTCCTCAGTCACACGTTACAAATAAGGTCCAGCAGGAGA